AGACATTCAAAGCATCTCTAGTCTCCTCGCCCAAGTTATGTAGAGTATTGGATAACTCCCACTAGGTTGTCTTGATCTCCTTTAATCGATCATGAGTTACCACATAAGTTTTTAGAACAACTACCGCAACCTTAAGCTCCTCAATCCTCTATCGGTCACTAAATTCACCGCTCGTTACCATTTTATCAATTCTTTAGCATTTTTCAACCATGCTCTGATACCGCATGTCACAGGCTATGCTTTCTCTCAATAAAGTAATAGACCATATGGTACTTAAATGAACGTTTCCACATAAGTCAACCAAGGATAGTTCGCTATATGAACAAGCAATCAACAAGCCACAAGTCAATCTCAAGCATACACAACAATATATCATTGCAAAATGGAAGCAAACCAAGGCGACCCTTGGCGTTCCTGAATTAAAAAAATATTTTATTAATATCAAGAATAGTACATTAAGTTTTTTCACCATCGTTAGGCCAGAAGGGCAACCTTAGATGGATGATCTAACACATACCTTAACCAGTGAGGCAGCCCAACAATACGTTGACTACTTACCCCCTCTAAAGAGCAAATGAGATTTTATAGCTATACTACCATAACCATTACAATGTTTAAAATGGGAATACTTTTTCCTCGCACCTGAGATCTACCCTCCTTTTTGGCACCTTTACCCGATCATGACTCTATACATGAGTGGCTCATGATAATCTATGCCTGATCATGACCTTATACAAGATTGACTCATGATAGTATGCCATACCCATTATTGGGCACTAATCATTGTTGGTGGCATAGGTCCATTACTCTCCAGGCCTGCTACTCAAATCCGATTTAGACTTGGTTTGGATAAATATTTTAAAGATCAAGCTTGATTTAAATTATTATTTTATTAATAATTAATTTTTATTTAAATTATATTTTAAATATAATTAAAAGTATTAAATATTAATATAAAAATAATTTTTTAAGTATGTTTAAATAGTAAAAAGTGAGTTTAAATGGGCGAGTTGGGCCTCAACCCCATGGACGTCCTTATTGGGTGCAAAAATACTCCAATTACCCCTGCAACTTTAATAATTTTTCAATCAATTTTTTTCACATGCAAAAGGAAAAAATATTGATTATTATTTTTTAATCTTATAAGATTTAAATTCTTTCGCTTCCTGATAGTAATTTTTTACCAAATTTCACTTTATTGTTGTTATTGTTTTCATTAAACAAATATTATTTCAATAATAATTTCAAACTCTGTTAAAAATTTAATTTTATTATTATAATTATTAATTTCATTGACATTATTATTTTTAATTTTGTTTGAGTTAATCTAATCTATATACCAAACATAGCTGTAATAAATAATTGGTGAGACGAATCAAACCTAAAAAGGAAGTCACATTGATACATGAAGCCTTTATATTTTTCGTTTTCAATCCTGATTTTTAATAGAATATTATAACAAATATCCAATAAAATTATCATTCAAGCAAACGAAAATATAATCGAACTACAAATCATTAACACAAAAAATAAAAAATTTAACTTGATTGGACATTTAATTCTTCCTTTTTTTTTATTTACAATCATATCAATATAAACACTAATCAAATAAAACAATCACAATCTAAACATACATAAGCACGATCTAAAGATTTAGAATCAAGTTTCGTTTTCATTGTAGGTATCCTGGTCAACATAGAGAAAAGAAAGTATTCTGTAACCAGATCATTGAATGCATAAAATAGTTGATACGATGATACTACTTTGATCTATATCTAATTACTTACAATAAAACGTTTTATTGTTCTATCCAAAAATGATTGAAATTGTTGATATTTTTAATATTTAAAAAAATGTTGAAAATTTACACATCCACGTTTTGAACGCCATGTATTTATTTATTTTCGGTACATGAAACCATTAGAATATTTTATTTTTTCATAGAATCATGTAGTCCAGCGAAAAAATATTTTCATATTAGCTGCATTTCTCATATATCAACTAACCGGCTGCTACCGGCTTGGCATTTCAACTATACATAATGAAATTAGAAATATATATAAACCTAGCCCGGGGCGGGGATCTCATCAATCGGGAAGTTAGTGCAAAATTAGAAAAGAAAAGGTATAGGTGTTGCATTGCCATTTTTTTTTATAAAAAAACGGGAGTAAATAGATTGTTCCAACCCTCAGTAAGAACAAAATGCCTGTCTCAGAAAGTTTCATCAGCTGCTTTAGAGATTAACATCAACGAGAAGAACCCAAGCATTGCATAGCGAGATGAGTTACCTACGCCAATTGAGCCAACCGCTCGTTGGCCTTGTAACGCCATTTATGTATGGTTGAAAGACATATATATAGAGTAGAGAGTTTCAGCTGCAATTCTTAATTTCCATGGAAAAAAGAGTGGCGATTGTTGGAGCTGGAGTAAGTGGCCTTATTGCATGTAAGTACATCCTGGAGAAGTGTTTCGAACCAATTGTGTTTGAAGCTGATGACAGAATCGGAGGTATTTGTGCTCAAACCATTCATTCTACAAAACTCCAAAACACTAAAGAAGCTTACTAGTTTGATGATTTTCCTTGGCCTTCCTAGGTAAAAGACATTTATCCTAGTCACTCTGAGGTGATGGAGTATCTTGAATCCTATGCACGGCTTTTTGGCATCTCTTCTTACAACAGGTTCAATTCCACGGTCCTAATTATTGATTATGTGGGAGAGGATTATAAAGAGATTGAATCATGGCATCTCTGGGGTGGAATTGGAAAGCCCTTTAGCTCCAAAGGGAAATGGCACATCAGAGTGCAAGATGTCAAGAGCTGCACCATTGAGGTAACATTTAATTTAATTTATCAGGACTTAAATTTGTTACTGCTAATTGGTTTCTGACTTCCGGAATGATCTTATCAATGGCCAGGATTACATAGCTGAATTCGTAATTCTTTGCATCCGACAATTTAGCGGTCTTGCAAATATCCCAAATTTGCCTCCAAATCAAGGTCCCCAAGTGTTCAATGGCATGGTGATGCATTCCATGGACTATGCTGCTATGAACAGCTCAAGTGCTGAAGAATTAGTGAAAAAAAAGAGAGTTACTATTATTGGTTCAGGTAAATCTGCAATGGATTTAGCCGCACTTTGTGCAAATATAAATGGTGAGTATATCTTAAACCAACATTATGGCAATATGTAACTTAAGTTTCTGCGAAAATCTGGCCTGCCTGGTCCTTTATAAAAAGAGAATTCTGTCTTTTTGTTTTTTGCTAGGACCAAGGTACCGTTGCACGATGATCCGACGGACTGCTAATTGGGTTGTTCCTAATGACTGTATGTCTAGAATTGGTCTTGGTCTTCTATACTTGAACCGTATATCAGAGCTTTAAATCATAAGCCTGGTGAAACATTTCTGCTAGGAGTATTGGCAACCTTGCTCTCACCGTTGGTATAACTTTCACCTTGTTATTTGAATTTAAATAATAATATATCCAAAAATTTAAATTTGTGATTTCTTGACAAGCCGTTGTATGCACATATATTTTCAGAGATGGGGTATCCACAAGCTTGTTGAGTGCTATCTTAGATGGAAAACGAAACTCCCGCTAAAGAAATATGGAATGATGCCCAAAGACGGCTTTCTTCAGAATGTTCTTTCATGTCAGATAGCAATGCTACCAGCAAATTTCTTTAACAGATTGGAAGAAGGAAGCATTGTTATTAAAGATTCACCAGGCTTTGGCTTTTGCAGAGAAGGTTTGATTATTGATGGAGAAACTAGGCCCCTAGAAACAGATATTGTCATTTTCGCTACTGGACATAAGGGTGAAGAAAAGCTTAAAAACATTTTTTAATCTCCAATTTTGAAACAATATATAACGAGGTCACCAACTTCTATACTTCCTCTCTACAGGTATTTGGTTCCCACATTAAAATTAATTAAATCTTGCAATTTGTAGCACCCCAAAAAATTTACATCTTACAATAAACCATGCCTTCTTTTTAGCACAACTTCTTTTTACTATAACATCTTTGGCACTGATGCAAACAAATAATTCACCCTCGAATTCCACGATTGGCTATCATAGTATATGGTGGGAGTCTATCACATATATCTACATGTGAAATCAGATGTCAATGGCTAGCACATTTCCTAGGTGAAAGCATGGAATTGCCTTATATAAGAGAGATCGAAAAGGATGTGAAAATTTGGGACAACTACTTTAAAGAAACTGCTGGCAAGTATTTCAGGAGGTCTTGTGTTGCTACCGTCCAGGTATGGTACAATGACCAATTATGCAGGGACATGGGATATAGGCCAAGAAGAAAGAAGGGAATTATTGGAGAGTTATTTGAACCATATGGAGCACAGGATTATGCAGGTCTTACGGCTGAGATACAAGCATAGTCCATAGATTCGTTGATGATTGATGGTAGTTGTTTTTATCTGTTTTCAGATTATCATTTCTATTTATTTTCTATGTTAAGATCTTGACAACAGTCCATAAAAGAGTAGTAACTATAAAGGAGTTAAGACAACGAAAACAGCACAGTGCAGTCCACAAAATCAGAAGAAGACTAAACCATATATCAAGTCAGCAAATCATGATCAAATCAAGCACTTATCCTATCCAGTTTTAAAATATTGTATTGCAACGTGTAAATCTCATCTTGCAAGTATCATGTAAAAATGTATATATATGGTGAAGCAGATTTACTTGAGCAGCTTTGACGTGCAAATAAAGGTACAGATTCTTTGATATTTATTTCCGGAAATTTTAAAAAAATTTGTGATGAAGTTGCAGCCGTGCAAAACATACACTTTGACCGCGATTAATATATGGTTTTTCGAGAGTCATTCATGTGCAACAAGAGCAAGAGAGTGAAAATAAATAATTAACATATATAAAGGACAGTTTTCGAGCACATGGATTGGTTGGCGAGATTTAACTATAAGATTGCCAACTAAAACGACCTTCAGTATAACAATAAGAAATTTGAGACACCCGTCTGACCAGAACATCAGGATTGTGTAGTATTGGTACAATAACATAAAATCTTCGATTATAATGTAAGAACGAAAATAATAAAATAAAAGGAAATTATAAATTTACCCCGCTCGACAACCACCGCAATTGACCAGCTGATATTAACAATATTAAAGGTCGGTATCTGCCCCGTATTAAATGAGAGAGGCGTGCAAGAATGTTCAGCTGCCTCTTTGCCCTCCCCGGTCCTTGCAGAATTAGTTTATCATGGAGAAACGAGTGGCGATTGTTGGAGCTGGAGTGAGCGGCCTGCTTGCCTGTAAGTATGCTCTGCAGAAAGGTTTCGAACCAATCGTGTTCGAAGCTGATGACAGAGTTGGAGGTGTTTGGGCTCATACCCTGGACTCCACAAGACTCCAGAATACCAGACAAAGTTACCATTTTTCTGATTTCCCATGGCCTTCTTCGATAAAAGAATTGTATCCTAAAGACACTGCGGTGCTGGAGTATTTTGAATCTTATGCTCAACATTTTGGTATCTATAGTTGCATAAAGTTCAATTCCAAGGTCATTAGTATAGATTATGTTGGAGAGTCTTATGAAGAGATTGAATCATGGCATCTGTGGGGTGGAACAGGGAAGCCATTTGGCTCCAAAGGGAAATGGCACATCTATGTGCAAGATATCAAAAGCTGCAGCATTGAGGTATGTTAAGTCTCTTGGCCTTTAAATATGCTATATGTATTGAAAAGTAATAATAATGGGCTCACAGTCATAAGACATTTTAATCTAGTGGTTTCATATTGGACAGGTTTACCAAGCTGAGTTCCTTATTCTCTGCATAGGACAATTCAGTGGTCATCCAAATATCCCAGAGTTGCCCCCGGAAAAAGGACCTCAAGTGTTCAATGGCAGGGTGATGCATTGCATGAACTATGGGGCAATGGATAGGTCGAGTGCTGAAGAATTGGTGAGAAATAAGGGAGTTACAATTATTGGTTCGCGCAAATCTGCGGTGGACTTAGCAGCACACTGTGCAAACATAAATGGTGAGTGAATTATATTGAACTTTCACAGCATTCCATCTAAATAACTTGAAAATACGTAAGTTATGTTTGCTCCTTTTGCCTTTTTCAACTAGGTCCAAAGTACCCTTGCAGAATTATCCAAAGGACAGCTCATTGGTTTCTCCCCAGTGATTCTGTCTGTGGATTTGGTCTTGGTCTTTTATACTTCAATCGATTCTCGGAGTATTTAGTTCATAAGCCTGGTGAAACATTTCTGCTCAGAGTTTTGGCAACCTTGCTTTCACCATTGGTAAAACTTTTATCTAGGCATTTAAATTTCAATAATAAATATTTATTGGACAATTAATGATCTATGCCAGTATGTATATATGCAGAGGTGGGGCATCTCAAAACTTGTTGAATGCTATCTTAAGTGTAAACTCCCACTGGAGAAGTACGGAATGATCCCAAACTACAGCTTTCTTCAGGACATGTCTTCATGTCAAATAGTAACGCTGCCTGAAAATTTCTTTACCAAAGTGGAAGAAGGAAGCATAATACTAAAGAATTCACCAAGCTTTAGCTTTTGCAAAGAAGGTTTAATGATCCAAGGAGAAACTAAGCCTCTGAAAACAGATATAGTCATTTATGCTACTGGATTCAAGGGTGACCAAAAACTGAAAAACATTTTCTCATCTCCAATTTTCCAGAAGCACATAATGGGGTCCGCAGCTTCCATTCTTACTCTCTATAGGTAGCCAATTTTTACATAATTTTTACCTTTAACATCTTTTGTTGTATGGTTAACTTTTTTTTCTTCTTTTGTGTTGATACAGACAAGTTATTCATCCAAGAATTCCTCGATTGGCTATAATAGGATATGCAGAGAGTCTATCGAATTTGTATACCTCAGAAATCAGATGTCAATGGGTAGCACATTTCCTTGATGGAAAAATAGAATTGCCGAGCATAAGAGAGATGGAGAAGGATGTGAAAATATGGGAAAATTACATCAAACAAAATTCAGGAAAGTATTTCAGAAGATCTTGTGTTAGTACGGTCCACATTTGGTACAATGACCAATTATGCAAAGACATGGGACGTAAGCCTAGAAGAAAGAAGGGAATTTTAGCTGAGCTGTTTGAACCATATGGAGCACCAGATTATAAAGATCTCGATGATTAATTAGTGACGAATTTATATATAGATTTGATAATCAATTTCTTCTTTTCCTTTGTTTTCAATGCTATCTTGACAAAATAAAACATATATTTGTATTTCTTGGAAAATACTTGAGTTTAATATATCTCTTGCAAAAAACACTGAAATTAATTCTAACAATTATTAATTTCAATTGAAGTTAGTTTTTTTTTTTTTTAATTATCAAGATAATTTATCACTTTCTTAGGATTGCTTTTATTTAACAAGATAAGGACTCTATTAACTAATAAAACTATTTTAAATATTAATAAAATGATATAGTTTGAAATTCAATAAAAAAATAATCATTACAAAAATATTGAAAAATACTATTCCACCTATCACTTTTGTCTCAAGTTTTTTTATAAATCTTTTGTCTCAAAATTTTGTAATCCTTAACATAAAATATAATTATTGGTTTGATTGAATATTTTATTTATGAATTAGTTGACTTATTCATGAATTTATAAATTTATATTTAAATTTATTTAAATTACATGCTATGACATCTCAATCCTACATTGAAAGTTATGAGGATATGTTATAATATATAACTTAAGAGTTAAGACATAAATATATACTTATGAAGTATTTTTTATAAAACAAAATTGTGAAACTTTTATATCAAAATAAATAATATCTCATAGATTAGATATAAATTTTCACAAATGATATCAGAATAATCACTAATCGAAAAAAATTAAGTGTTATAATGTAAGAATTACCTATAGAATCCTATGTTATATGAGCTAAGTATTATACTATAGAAGTTCTCTCTAAAATTCCAATGCATGATCCTGGTTTTGTATGTTCCAATGCTTTGTTTAATCTTGGTTTTATATATTTTGTTGGAATCCCATATAAGCTAAGTGTCACACAATAAAATTTATCTTTAAAATTTCGACGTTTGGTGTAATTTTAGCTTTATATATTTTAATTTTTGGTGTGATTTTGGTTTTGTATATTTTGTGTTGGACTTAACGTCCTCAATTTGATATAAGAATATTTTAATGAGTGTTATGATATATAAATTTAAATTTAAATTTAAATTTGTTAAAAAGTCATTTATGATATAAAATAGTAATATATTTGAATTAAAATAAACAATACCTTATAGGTTAAATATCAATCTCCACATGTGATGTCAAAGAATAGAAAAATATGATCTAAAATTTAACTTAGTTAATATATTTAAAATTTGAATATCAACACTTATAATTATTTTTTTAATTTTTTAACTGTCACCTCATAAATATATATAATACAAAAATTTTGAATAAAATTAATTATGCAAATTTAAGGCAAAACCTATCCTTTATATATTACTTCATTATTAATAAAATCAGTCGGATCAAACTTGAGCTAGAAAATCTATGCCCATACCCGATTTGATTTTAATTAAGTCCGTGAGTTTGGGTGGTTAACTAATCTTTGGACAATTTTAACTAAAAAAGTACATTTTTTAAAGAAAAAAATTGGGTTGAATTTAAGTGAACCGGTGCTAAGTTGGTATGATAAAATCTATACAAAAAATAATATTAGAAAATTTTATTTTTTGTTTTTTTTTTGCCGGAAAAAATATGCGGCTTTGTTGGCGTTATAGTTTTTGTGCTGACGTTTCCGCTGCTAATTCACAGAAAAGTCAAACGCAAACCAACGAACGTAACTGCATACTACAATACCCAAACGTGCGTAAACCACAATTTCAGAGACTCAGTGAGCTAGCCTTTCCATTTCCATTCTCTCTTTAATGGCGATTGCTTCACCCTCTCTTCGCCCTCTTCACAAATCTTTACTCCCGAATTACCCTTGCTTTTCTCATAATGTACGGTTTCCTCCCTCCCTCCATTTTTCTTCTCAACCCTTCCGCTTCACTGTTCGGGCCACCTCCGCCGTTGCTTTGGAGCAGGTAAACTCTGTCCTTTCCTTCTTTTGATTATTTTAAATAATTTTTCTTATTTGTTTTTGGCTGAAATTTCTACTGTTTTTGAACAACTTGAATTATTGCCACAAAAAAGAAGATGCTTTAAAATTGAAAATTCAGATTAATTATCTAACTGAAAGTTTAAAATTTTCATTTTTTTTGATGTGCTGAAAATTCAGTCGTGCATTAGGCTTAATAAAAGCAATAATTTTTTCAGGATTTAAGGACTCAGCAGAATCAAAAAGTGGAAACTGACTCGTTTTCTTGCCCCGTGTGCTATGAACCACTGATAAGAAAAGGTCCTTCAGGTTTTAACTTGTAAGTTATAATATAAAGCAATATATAAAGGTGTTAATCTTTTTATCAGGTTAGTGTATGACTATCAAATTAACTTGCATAACTTGCAGGGAAGCTATCTACAGGTCTGGATTTAAGTGTAAAAGATGCAACAAATCCTACTCAAGTAAAGATGCATATCTGGATCTGACTGTTACTGCTGGATTGAGAGACTACACTGAAGTCAAACCAGCTGGGACCGAACTATTCCGGTATGGTTACTTGCTGCTATATGCACTTGGATTTATTCTTGATACCTGAACACAGAGCAGGTTGAGTGTTCAACCTTTTCACCAAAATTTAGGGACAATTTTATTAGGATTTTTGTTAACAAGTAATCACATTCCCACAGATACTATCTCTTTTGGAATCTGATTCAGCTAAAAAGATGATCAGCATTTTGCGACTGAAACCATGAATCAGTGTTCAAATTCCAAATATATCTGATAAATCTGATAAGGTTGCTACAAAAAATAAACTCTGTAGTAGTTTCCAGAACCTGTGTAGAATTTGGGAGTCCTGTGCAGAGCAGGATTACAGTAAACAATGAAACTATAAAACAACTTATTTGTGATCCAATGATTCTCTGAATTGCTAAAGCATGACTGCAACAAATTAAAAGGATGAGAATGCAGGGGTAAAGATAGAATCATAGAAACATAAAGGTATGGTTGAAGTTATGTTTAAAAGGGTTTGATACTTCAATCTGGAATCTGAAATTTAATTACTCTACTCTAAAACAAAAATTAACTTATTCCTTCAGTTTCCATCTGAATGTTACTTGAGCTATTTGCTTTTCACTTCCTATAAAATTGTTATAGAAAAAGCAAAAGAAACTTTGTACGTAATTAAAACAAATAAACGTTACTTCAAGCATGGTTGTTCCATATAAAAGTAAACTATATATTTTTTATCCTCAAAAAGTTAAAAATTTTTAACTTTCTATTCTTTAAAAATACTGTTTGTTCTTGTATCTAAAGCATTTTTCCTTTTTTTACTTTCTGCTTCTAAAGGTAAAAAGCAGGTTATATAAGCAACAATAAATCAAACATAAATCTATCAAGTAATCACAGCTTTTTACCAGTTACAATTATTCAGATTGAACTGAGTTCCAATTAAATTAGAAGTATCTTAATTCTATATTATCTAAATAAACATACGACCATTCCACATATTTGGTTCTTTCAGACGTGCCAGGGAAAAATACAAGATACTTGCTGTCTTAAGTGAGATAACAGGAGAATAACAAGTCCTGAACAATTCTCATGCTGCTACTAGAAGGATGACTGCCTCTAAGTAAACTCCCAATATGACATTTTGGGTTTTAGCTAAACTTTTTCAGTGTAAAGGTATTGTTTCATTATATCATGCTTCCATCTTTTCTAGGAGTCCTTTTGTATCATTTGTCTACGAAAGAGGCTGGCGACAAAATTTTAACCGAAGTGGCTTTCCTGGGCCTGATGAAGAGGTAAATCTTGATTGGCTTTATATCATATTCAAATGCGCTGATCCACCGACAAGGATGAATAACTCTTTGGAGGTCATTCTAAAGAAAAGAGCCCTTTTTTTTTTTGTAGAATATTAATTTATACATATGCATATATTGTTTTGTGGAAATTCTCCATGAAAGTGGATGACATAGAAGGGTAATCAGTCTTCCAAGTGTTTCGTTTTCCTGAACAAGCTGAATTAATACCTGCTGCATATTCTTATGTTGTATGACCTACTGAATTTATACCTTGCTATTTTTGTCTAACTTGATGTTTTGCAAATACTGCAGTTCAGAATGGCTCAGGAATACTTCAAACCTGCAGAAGGTGGCATTTTAGTGGATGTTAGCTGTGGAAGTGGTTTGTTTTCCCGAAAATTTGCCAAATCTGGGACATATTCAGGTGTTATTGCACTTGATTTTTCTGAAAACATGCTCCGGCAATGTAATGATTTCATTAAGCAAGATGCATCTGTTTTGGCTAGGTAAGCATCTCTACCTCTTTAATTTTAAAAGTTGAAGCAGTTGTGTAAATGTCAGTACTTTAATTTTGACCTTTATATTTCTTAAGCCAAGAACTGATTCACACTTCATTGGAGAATGTGCAGCAATATTGCTCTTGTCAGGGCTGATGTTTCCAGGCTTCCTTTCTCATCCGGTTCTATTGATGCTGTACATGCTGGTGCTGCATTGCATTGCTGGCCATCTCCTTCAAATGCTGTAAGCATTGTTTTCTCCGTTTTTCTCCTACAACGTTGCTGACACATAGGCTTACAGATCTCCCAAAATGTTCTTGGTTTGACAATAGTAACCTAATCCTTCAGATATACAAATTGAATTTGTCATTTTCTTCCTTCTGTCCTTGTTTGTCTGTCCTTATGACTGGTTTGATTGGGGAAACCTTTTCTAGATTTCATTTGTAGGTCTAATAGAGATAAAAGAATAAGCATCTTGTTTTTCATTTGTCTCATCAGCTGACCTACGGTAAATCCTCTCAGCTAAGAGCTGAAGATGATAAAATATCTCAATATTGTGGTTTGTTTTACATAGCATGCTACCACATTGCAATTATTTTACTACTTTAAGTCAATTGCACAAAGCTTTCCAGACTTTTCTCTGAGCTAGAAAAAGTTGTTAAGTAGTCACTTACTTTTATTGTTTTCAGATTGCTGAAATTAGTCGTATATTGAGAAGTGGTGGAGTCTTTGTTGGAAGCACTTTTCTTCGTTATAGTTCTTCTACTTCCCGGATAATACGACCTTTCAGAGAGGTAAAGAGCAATATTTTTTGATGTGTTTTAGACTTTTACAATGCATTAGGAGTTATCTTTTTGTTCAGCAAACATGCCCATTTTTACCACACTTTAACTTTGGCTAAACTGAATTGTTTACCGTGCTGAATTTTACAACTCCATCTCATTTTATTTCTTTCATTCACTTTTGCTAATTTTTATTTTAATGTCATACTATGAATAATATCCCCAACTCATGCAAAACTCCAACTGGTATTTTGATGACTACCCTGTGTATCCAAAACCCAACTGTTGTAACTCGTATGATGATGTTACATACTTATAGTACCTGAAGTTATATTAGACCTGGTTCTTGCCTCTCCGTCATTTTGCAATTTTATCCTCAGAATGTTTTTTTCTTTTTCTATTTAATAATTTCTATTTCTTGAGAAATGAAAATCTAATTCAATAATTATAGCGTGTGAAAGACATTCATTTTTGTTGCAGAGGATTCTGCAGAATTATAACTACCTCACAGAGGAGGAGATAGAGGACTTATGCACATCTTGTGGTCTTACCAACTATACAAAAAAGGTTCAACAATCTTTTATCATGTTTTCTGCTCAGAAGCCTTGAAGCTGGATTTGGATCATTTGAAGTATGATTCTTCTTTTGATGCATCACCTGTCATGATCCTTAAAGATTTGTTGTATAATATTATCGATTATACAGAAATCATTAATTATAAAAACAAAACCTGAAAAAGATGATAAACTGTGACAGATGCAATTTATAGTGTATACTTAATAATGCAAGATAGTATTTCCTGTTGAATTGATGATTGTGTAAACACTATGAAAGATTTTATTAGTGCTCAATAATATTGAGAATATGATGACATTCTGATGGTCTAAGTTAGCTTTCTGACTTTGGTTTCCCTTTTCTCTGTTACATATGATGCGCGTAATGCCAATATGGTAAAACTTGGTAACTCTTTGTTTTGCTGTTATGTGTGATGGAAACTATAAAAGATCAGTAGCAGGTAGATAATTAGGTAAATGTTTTTTGATTATGTGGTCACTTATAAATACTAAACAAGTTAGAATTGTGGAATTTGGTAACTGTTCAGAGAACAAAAAGAAAGTTGTGGAAATGTGTTGGAGTCGTCAAGAGAGGAGGATAGAGGTAGTCCTAAAAGTATTCCATATCTACAAACTATGAACGATTCATATGTTAATCTCAATTAGTTAAGGGATTTATTCAAGGCCGCTACTTGTGACCTTGAGTTCGAAATCATCGATGCCATTAAGGCATCAACAACTCCTATAATACAGTCACAATTATGAAGTATCTAGCTAATTATGTGAAAGAATCAAACAATAGCACGTCACTTTCATCTGTTCATTCTATCTTCACATTTATAATAATGAGAAAAATGTGCGTGATAAGATATGAAGCTGGCAATATGTTTATCTTTGTGTGCAAGAAATATGAAACTCAATATTTAAGTTTTCGCCAAAAATTTTACCAACTAATTTTATACATAATTGTTTCACATTGGGTACATATTACATCCACTCGTTAAGACACATCAAAACAAAAAAAACATAATTATATATCATCAATTAAATAGAAATGATATATATTGATATAAAAAATTGTTTCAAAGAATTCTTCTTTGAAAAAAAAATTAAAGAGTTGAAGACAAAAGAAAAAGTGGTTTCAACTAGTTAATGCCCACAGATGAAGTTAATTCATGAAAGTAATAACAAATGATTATGGTGATGATGGCATTGCCCATACTTTAGACCAAAGCCTTAGCTACCGTCCTTAGTCATTCATTAGTCACGACCTTTTGAAGGCTTTTAAAAGACTTGATTCCACAATTCTTGATCTCATGTGAGACTAACCTCGAAAAATTACCATTCCAAGTACCTGGAAAAAGGCGGTGCACGTGATCAATGCCTTGGTAACAAGGCAAGGTGTGTGCAGTGACTGTTCACGAAATATAAAACAAATAACAGATGGTGCTATAAAACTGGGCTCAGCCGCTCTCTGCTAATAAATAAAACCCATTTTTCTGACACAGAACAAAGTGGTTGTGGAGTCACTCACACATGCTAGGAAAAAAAGGACAGTCGGTTCAGGGATAGATCCCCTCGTGCGGCTCACACGCTGACCCACTCTCCTTTCCCAATGGGTTTGCCCATTATATTTTCTCAGCGGGTCCTTTGACCTTTGACCGCCCAATTTTATTCAGGAAAGGAAGGAAAAAAAAAAGGAATATTTTGTCAGTTGAAGACACCCTTCAGCTTTCAAAGTCAGTCAGGCAGTGTCCATTGGATCCCTTGCAAGTGAGATTCTGCCTTTTCATGGCACGTGGGAGATGCCCATTTGGGGGCCTTTCCTTTCCCTTTGCTTCTTTGATAATTTTATTCTTCAATAACTTTCTTTGGTATATACACTGCTATCAAACGGTGCACGTGAATTCTTCCAAACTTTCAATTGGTCGGTTCTGATAAGTGATCCACTGTTACCAGCCGAAAGTTTACTGATTTCGTTTCGTACTATATTTTCTTCGCTACCATAGTTAGCGATGACATACAAAATATTTACTAGTATCTTCTGTTTTTTCTTTTATTTTATCAAAGAGGTTTTTATATTTTTTAAAAATTTAAAATTTAATCTTTATATTATAATTTATACAAATTTAATCCTCACATTATTTTAATTTGATAATTTTAATTCAATCATTAATTTTTCTAATTTTTTACTATTCAAGATATTAATGTGGCTGTTAATTTTATTAATATGATATTAACTTACTAACATAATAATTGAAATTGATAAAATCAATTATTAAATTATACAAATGATTCTTGTACTCATACGAAATTTAAAATTTAACCTTTATATTCGTATAAAATTTGAAATTTAATTCTTCTAATAAAAAAAATTAAATTTTTAAAACTTTTTTAGTTTTTTAAAATATTAAATTTTAGCATTTTGTACAATATTCTCACATAATATTCCATCATAGTATTCTATCAAAATTTTCATATATTATCATTAAATTTGTCATAATTTTTTATCACACATGTGAAATACTTTTACTAGTTTTATTACTATTTCTTGTTATATTCCATTATAAAATATAAATATATTATTAATTTTATCACATTTTTTGTCATAATTGTAGTATATTGTAGCTATATGAAAACAATTTTACACCAATCTATTAAAAATCTATTGTAACTTTGTTAACTATGATACAAATCTATCATTGTCTACTTTTAATAAACCTATTTTTTTAGTTTATTAAATAAATTATAATTATAATTATATCGGTGAAAGTAATCTATCAATATTTCTATTCCTTTAAATTAAACTTTATTTAAATATTTTTTATAATGAGATCTAAGTTCAAAATTCTAAATACATTAAAGTAATTTACTAAATGTGTATTTGTTTTACAATTAATCTTATTATTTAATTTAACATAATGATTTAGATAAATTTTTTTGTGAAGACCTAAAAAATTAAAAATTCTCATTATGATAAACAATATTGATTTTTCTGTTTATTAAATAAATTATTTCCTCTTTTTATTTTATTGAAATTCAAAATTCGTCCTTCAAATGAATAAGAGTATGTCTCTTGTAAGAATTTAGGTTTGAATTGTTTATTTTGTTTGGTTGGATGAATTGGTTATTTCATTCATAGTTTATTTCAGATTCATTACAAATTCAACTTTATTTAATAGTTTGGTTCATTATAAATTTTGTTATATGATATATTTAAATTAATTAAAATAATTTTAACTTTGACATATTAATTTAAATTACTAATATTATAATTTATTAATATAAATAACAATAATATTATTATAAATGTGATATTATTAATAATTAATTATATATATAATAAAATTAATATAATTCAAAAAATATTTTTATATTAAAGGAATTAAAATATTTTTAAAATTTAATATTTTTAAAAAAATTAAAAGAATTAAAAAAATTTAAAATATTTTTATGTAAGAGAAATTAAATTTCAAATTTTGTGCAAGTTGTGATGCCCCAATCCCACATAGGGATAATTTGAAGTGCTGTTATGATATATTTATTAAAATCTAAACCTAAATTTATGACATTTTTTGTGGAATAAAACCATTAGACCTTCAAGTCAAAGAGAACAATCTCTTGTAGGTTGGGAATGAGTATTCACAAATGGTATCAAAGCTGTCACCAGTCAGATTGGAGCTAAGTGCTATACTATGAGATCTATCTCTAGAATCTTGCGAAAGTTAAGTGCTATACGGTGAGAGCTACCTCTAGAATCCTAATGTCTGATATGATCATGTGATCTATGTATACTTTATATTAGGCTTGACCAACGTTTGGTGTGATTCAGTGAATTTGTATATTTGTATTGGGTTTGATAGGGACGTCAAGTTTTAATGGAGGAGTTTGTGACCCCTTAATCCTACATTGAGATAATTTAAGATTCAGTTATGATATATATATAAAAATCTAAACCAAAATCAGTGAAGTATCTTTTATAGGATAAAATTATGAGACTTTTGGGTCAAAGCAGATAATACCTCATAGATTAGGTACAGGTCTCTACAAATAATATCAAAACAGTCACCAGTAGGACTCGAAATAGAGCTAAGTGCTACATTATGAGAGCCACCTCTAAAATTTTATACAAGCTAAATGCTACAAAGTAAGAGCCACCTCTGAATCCCAACGTCAAGTGTGATTATGTGATCTGTGTGTATTTTATGTTGGACTTACCCAATATTTGGTGTGATTTGGTGAATCTATGTACTTTATGTTGAGCTTGACGGAGACGTCAAATTTTAATAATAAGAGTTTGTGATGCCCCAATCTTCAATTGGGATAATCTAAAGTTCTATTATGATATATATATATATATATATATGTTGATATCTAAATCTAAATCTATGAGACATCTTTTGTTAAATAAAATCGTGAAATCTTCAGGTTAAAACAAACAATATTTAGCAGGTTGGTTGTGAGTCTCTACAAATAGTATCAAAGCAGTTACCAATCGAATGGAAGCTAAGTGCTACACCGTATTAGCCACCTATAAAATCTTATGGGAGCTAAGTACTATACGGTAGAAACTATCTCTAAAATCTCAACGTCTGGTATAATTATATGATCTCTATGTGTTTTGTGTTGAGCTTGCCCAACATTTAGTGTGATTAGATGGATCTGTGTGCTTTATGTTAGGCTTGAAGAGGATGTCAAGCTTTAATAAGGAGTTTGTGATACCCCAATTTTATATCGAAATAATTTGAGGTTCTATTATGATATATATATATATATCTAAATTAAAATCTATTAGGCATCTTTTGTCGAATAAAACAATGAAATTTTCAAATCAAAATGAATAATATCTAGTATATCAAATGCGAATTTTCACAATTAGAACATAAAAATCAAATAGTTGTGGTAAATAGCTTAACCTACTCCACTTTCGTATATGACATCAATGAATATTACATGAGCTTTTATTACTTTTTTTATGTAAGTTTTACTTTGCATATGAGTAGGTAATTAACATCAATGTCTACTGATTATTTGATTAATTGTGAAAATTTTTTACCAACAATTAGAATAGTCTTATAACTTGTATTTGATTAAATGCTTTGTATAGTTTATATTGTAATTTTTTTTATTTAAAACCACACTCATTTGGTTCTCCAAATTTTTTATACATGGCACATTTTACATGTTGTAGTTGGATAAATTTTTAATTGAAATATTATCTAGAATTTATAAGGTTTAGTAATGCTCCGATAGTTTTTTGTGTTGTTTCTAATTACACAAATTTTAAATTTAAGTTTTGGTTTCTTTGAATTTTTAAATTCTAATT